TACACATAGATGTCATAACTAAAATATTACCTGTAATTGCTTATTCAGTTCGTAAACAGACAATTCACTGACCCTATGGATGCTACTCAACTACCATTGGTCATAAGAAGCACATAGTATTCTAAATTATTGAGATTTATTTCCATCTCATGTTCTACCAGCTTAAAAATATTTTTTTGATTATTACTAGCATTCAAATGTTGTGTTTTCCTATTCCCTTATTGTTTTACTAATAAATTTTGTAATTCCAAACTCCTCTTTCATATTCTGTGATTTTCTATCTGTCCTTCTCATTTCTAAACCGCATACCATCTGACCAGTATCTTACAACTCATACAATTAGTTAACTTCGCTGCAGTGTGAGGTAATAACTGAATGTCTGTCCCACAGTACAAAAGCTTTATTAGTCTAGTTTGCTTGTAACATGGAACTAATAGAAACAGTGTGTTTCAGTGAGGTATGTGTTAGGATGTGCAGAAAAATATACCAATAATTATCATATTAAGTCGAATGGTGGCCTTGAACTTTAAATGTACACTCCCTATTTGTCGATATTTATTTCACTTTTTAAATACTGTACAAATGTTGTTTTCTATTTTATGGTACGATGTGGTCTGGTTGATTGGTATATAAATAGAGTGTGTCTGAAATATAATGATTCATATCTCAGAGGCTGTGACTTGTGTTACGAACTCAACTGGCTGGGCTAGACAGCGAAGCAGGGCCAACCAGGACTCTAGGTCGTCCTTACGTGTTTACGTGTCACTGAATCGATCGATAAATACGCTGCTCCATCTAAACTGCAGTCACACGTTACAACAGTATGCAACACATAGCCAAGATTAAAACTATTCATACATACCACAGACGTAGGAGAGCCTAGCATCACAAGAGGAGGGTAAGTAGCGTTACCGACCAGCAAACATGATGGTGAGAGATAACGTCAATCTAGCCTTGTTTGTATGGCAGAACATTTTATTAACATACGGTCTAGAGGGATGTCACGAACCAGTGGTATTGATGTTAATTTATTATGCTGAATACCTTGGTTCGGTTTCACTTCTCACTGAGGAATCCTATTGCAAGAAATACTAAACAAATACGCTAAATAGGAGTCCACTCATAACTTTACAAAATTACAACAATAAAGAGTATTTCCCCCTCACTCCAAAAGGATAAGGACACCCTGGAGCGTATCCAACGGCGAGCCACAAAATCGGTTCGAGGACTCAAATTTAAACCTTACGAAGAGCGCCTTCATTCACTTAACCTTTACCCATTAGAGTATAGACGTCTAAGGGGTGACCTTCTGATGGTTTATAGTATCCTTAACACTTCTGGACATCCTCTTGAACGTCTACTTAAGCTTAGTTCCAACACTAACCTAAGAGGTAACACCCAAAAACTGGAGACACAACATAGCAGAACGGACTGTAGACACAACTTTCAAATGCTGGAATGCGCTGCAGGTCGAGCTAGTCCAATCGACTTCTCAGGAGTCATTTAAGAGGCAACTTGATCTATTCTCAAAGAACTAAGGATAGTATCACACAATGATTTACTAATTTCCTTTACACTTTTATTGTTAACATACCTAGGTTCCTGCCTGGAGGATTTGGTGATCCCCTGCTACTAGACACGGAAGCCTGTTAAGCGAAAGCTTCTTCTATTCCGTCCACAACCATTTGAACCATTTGAATTAATACACATAGTTCCCTCCATTATTTTAAAGAGAGCAAGAACAAAGGTTAGTGCACTAACATTCGAATTAAGTTTGATGAAAAAAAATCCAGTTGGCATTCAAACACAGTTTCTTGCAAAATTTAAAAATTACACAACCCTAAACTTTCAGCCCCGTTAAATCACTTCTATTTGTACAATCCTTCATTCAATGCCATACTTTGTCTCTTTCTATGTAACCTGATGAAACATACTTACTTGGAAAATGATCCAGTAAAAGAGAATGAGTCTAAGTATTCATATATTAATTGTTCCAATACAAGTGACTAAAATTCACTAGTCATGAAAACTATACATCTTGCTTTTCGTCCTTCCCTTTTTCAGTACCCTCTTGGTATACCACCGAAAACATATGTGGAGCACATGACTTCGCCCTACACCGTCACTAATACCTCCAGAATTAATCTGTAATCGCCATCAAGAAAAAGAAAATAATACGTTGGATTTGTCGTCTTCAACCGACTGCACTGGACCTTAATTGCATTCATTCTTGACCAGTAATTACTTGTCGCAACGCAACCCCCATCATACACGCCATTTCTCATATTGAACATTAGAGTCCTACTGACATTAATAACCCAATGTATGAAAATTCATACCCGATTTATATAACCAATTTGCCTTATATCAGCGTAATCGAGTAACCCAATAAAGTCTGAAGAATTTGTAACAATTTTATCCTGCCTGTAAACTGGAATTCCTCATGTGACGTATTGTTATCTGAGAATATATGTTGTTATTATTACCAACGGGACAAATGAAACTCAAACCTTACCATCTTGCACGTGAATTTGTTTAAATGTCATAACACAAATCTTCGCGAACGTCGAAACCCTGAAGTAAGCACTGTAGTGTCATTGGCGCCTAACCAGAAGATCTTTTAAGCCGAGTATATACTTGCCAAAAAGATTTACGTTCAACGTATGACGCCTATAGAATTTCAGCAATGGTGAGTGCGGGAACAATCGATCGGTATGGAATGGCTCGTCCTTGTAATTGTGGTCACTACGTGCAACTTATCTTTATCTACACAAAACATATCATAAGGCCTGTTATTATTGTAGTTCACTATTATCAGTAATTACAACGAGATTATTGAAGCTGCACACGAACCAACAAAATCACTCCAGTTAATTCTATGTAAACCAGAGAACGAAATGACAAAAGACGAAAAACTAAACATTATCCATAAAATAACTTGCTCCAACTGCAAAAGACACTACATCGGACAAAATGAACGTCCCCTTGATCTTCACCTACATGAACAGCAACTAGCAGTCGATCGACATGACGTATCCTCGCCTATACCAGTACATGTGGACATTTGTGGACACATATTCGAAAGAAAAAATGTTGAGATCTTGGATCGAGGGAACTCTAAATGCATATGAGATTTTTTAGAGGCCTGGTACCCATGTCGATCGACAATCGACAGACACACTGAGATCAATCCATCCTAACAACTTCAATTCTACCCAACGCTTGTGCTGATGATGTCGTCCAGAAGAACGATGAAAGCTTCACGACCAAACCATCCATTTTAAACTAGTAAAGTCCATCAAATTTTGCACAGTACAACTCTGCGAGCTTTATAGCTCACTAGTGCTACTTGTCTGGGATATCCCACACCAATCACATTTATGGCTTTTGAGATTAGAACTGTGCCCAACCAATTTGTTATATTTGAATTAATTATTAATAAGAACGAACGAGTACTTAACGTTTCACTAGACGCTATACCGAATAGAAACCATATCAGTTCTCAATTGACGTACGATGTTTCCTAAATTATATTTATTGACGTTTTCCTCGAGAATCTAGGCCAGCGCTAGTGAAATAATACGTTACTCGAGAACGAAAAATGACTGTTTTACAAAGGGAATTGAATATAACCAAATATTAATGGACAATAATAGTGTCAACAGAAGCTCTCCTTTGACATCTCTCGAGAAACACCATTTACTAAGTCAGCTTTCAGTGATTACTTGCCTATCGAAAAGGACATTGAAAACTCGCATTATTTATGGCGTAAGCAAGATGTCTCTCAACTCGAAAGAGGGCACGATCCACAAAAATTCTCCCTTTACTAGTCTATAGATCTAAAACGTGGTCTATGGGAATAGTGCCGTCACGTAAACTTAGGGTTTTCGATCATACGGTAATAGTGATTCTTGACAGTGATGTAATGTTCGTCGGTGAGGATGTAAATGTTCATGAATGGAGGTGGTTTTGACACACGTTACATATGTCGAGTCACTACCGACTTCGACAAACAATATTAGCCAGTGTATAATTACACTGGTGTAGCGTCTGGTTGGAAACTCTGAGTGATATGAACCAGGATCATTCACAAAGGCTCAGATGCATTTATTTTTCACTTTTCTCCTTATATTCAACATCTTCAACATCCCTTCACAACTGCTTCCTTATCCTATCTTGTAGAACCACGTCCAATCTTTTCAAATATGATGTTCGCCGTATTATTTAGATTACTTTGCTATTTGTATTTCTGAATTCATCTTGTGCTAACATGGTCTGGCAAAATGAGTTTATGTTCACCACTGAAAAGCTTTGAGAGAATACTTCCTGGATTTTAGTAAGACGCACAGTATAAGGTGTGAGAAGGGTGTCCACTGAAGACAGTGGAAGATGGTGAAACACTATCGTGGACTGATTTGTACAACATTAGATACTGGATCAGTGGTCTATATTGTTAAGCACTGGTGTATGAAACTGAAGGTGTAGGATTCGATTTCTGCTTGCATTGTCGTGAATGCGCACTTCTGAGGAGTCATATACTAGGGAGAATCATACGTCCAGTGCTTTCGGGCCTCCAAAATTTGTAAAAGTATGGCTGGCTTGTGATATCAACGAAACCCGACAATCTTCATAATCATGTAATGACAATCTAATAGTATACCAAACCTACTAGGATTACTAACAAATCAATGGATTAGCCATTTGAAAGATTCTCAAGACTTGATACTGATATGTAACACCAAGATGCCTTCGCGGTGGATGTTAGACTAACTGATTAGAATAAGTATAGTTATAAACCATTTGAACTCCCTATGCATAAAATTCATCGTATGGCACTTAGGTTTTTACTTCTTCAAAGTTGGGAGTTAGATTATTGTACAAGAGAAATTTTCATTGTTATTGTTTGAGGAGTTAATTTGTTTTAGTGATGAGAAAAAATTTTAACTCGTGTAAGGTCATTTGGTCTTACTGGCTCGTCTGGATCTGTCAAAGTAGGACTAATGGGTTCGAGTTCTAAGCGGGAGCGTTGTGATTCCCAGTCACTACCCGAGAGAAACTCATTGAACGGTGATAATATCGAGCACGAAGGCGATATTCTTACTCCATTCACCTATCAATGTAGGCTTTCAACGTTGCAGTATTTTAAGGTGCTAGTTGGCATGATTGATTATTTTTAATGTAGATGTACTTGCTCACTGTAACAATACTCCCTTTTCGTGCTTTGATAATTGGTTTCCTTTTCATTGCTACACTTCTCGTTGCAAATATATTCTGGATTGGACACGGCTCGAAATCTCAAGTAAAACCTATCTGCGACTTTAGAAGGTATTATATTGTACATTACATGTTACCTTTAGGTGGCTTATCCTGCCGATCGTACGTATGTCTGCTCGACTTGTCTTCTTTGCTGGGGGATTCCATTGGATTAAAATCCAAGGAATACGTGCGTCACGTAAAGAAGCGCCTATTATGGTTATTGCACCTCATTCATCCTTCCTTGATGCTCTTGTTGTTGTGGTTCTTGGCTTGCCATCCGTTGTTGGGAAAACGGAGTCAGCGGAATCTTTTGTTGGTGGATTTGTCAGGATGCTCGAACCCATTCTGGTTAACCGAGAAGATCCCAATTCCAGGAAGAAAGCAATTCAAGAGCTTATTCGTCGTGCAAAATCAGAAGAGGATTGGCCTCAGATTGTTATTTTCCCGGAAGGCACTTGCACCAATCGAAGCTGTATTGCAACGTTCAAACCAGGTAATCATTCCTACCTTTATAATCACAAACGTGCCAAATTTGCAAGTTTGCCTAGCTCACGCTATTATAAGCACTGCATATGTTTATCATATTTACTGGCTATCATCCTAGTATGTGCTTATCAATTTACTTGTAAACCGTAACTAAGTGGTTTGCAGTTGTATTTTCCTTCAATTTCCTATTTCTCACCTTTTAAACGCTATGCTGGCTGAAAAATACCCTATCCAGGGGTTTAGTTGTATTGTGTGAAGCGGTGATTAAATAATTAAAACATTCATCTTTCAATTACCTTATTGCTGGTCTGAACTTTTCTTATGTATTTTATATTTTATCAGACGGCTAATATCTGTGGCCTTCATACAGGCCGGATACAGTGAGTTGCGATAATAGATTGTTGTATAGTCACTAAACGCAACTAAAACGCTGATATGCACATGTTATTTGTCTCTGTAGTTAGTTTAAGGATTTTGTGCAGATTTTATTTAGACGCATGTTGAAACTTCTAAAAGAGGTAGTCGATAAAGGTTAGGGATCGCTTGTTGATCACCTGCTTCGGTTTGGGCACCCGGGCAGTATCACAGCCCTCACACATATCAAATGAGATTTGTGTGGCGCATATGTATTTGGAGCCTACTTGTACCAATATCTGTGTGTGTTGATCATCACCGTTGAGTCAAAGGGGCAAATAGCACAAACCATAGTATTAACAGATAGTCATCATGTTTTCATCTTGTCCTGATAAAGGCGATAACTTTCGTGCAAAACAGGTACTCTAAATACATAAATAATAATCATTCGAACTGAACGTTGATGTTAGCTGTAAGTTGCCACAGGTTATCAGCTTACACACCGGCTCGTAATTGCCATGATGCATTTTTAAATACATTTTTCGCAACAGATGCCCAACTCATATGTTACTAGTATTTTAAAATTGTTTGAAATGTTATAACTCGTGGGTTTGTGTCCCTAATAGTGAATAAAATAATGATACCACCAATTAGAGAACAGTGAATTGTCGACTGGACCAATGACGCATAAAACCCGTACGAGCAGTCTAGAGTCTTTACCGGTCCTTCTTCGTTCCTAGCCCTGCCTGTTAAGTCCAGAACACCAATCTCAGCCTCCATGATATGAATCATGTATTTCAAACATACTGGGTTTTTATCCAAACCAAAGAGACTACATCGCATCACAAAAAAGAAAACATCTTACAATATTAGCCAAAAGTGGCTGTGAATGTGGAATACTGTAATTAATAGACTGGGCATAACTCAAAAACGGTAAATCATATAATAATAGTCTATGGGTCAAAATAAAGCTTTGATTAAGAGGAACATGAATATGCTTACTTTAGCTACTTTATAATTATACAACAAAAATATATGTATTGTACTGGTCCACAAATAGTCCTCAAAATTTACCATTCATAATTCTCGTCAGGATATAACACTAGTAAAGTAGCCTAATTAGTCGTCATTTTGCAGAGTTTCTAATACATTTGTGTTATTTATTTACCTTTCAGAGGAGAAAAATAAACCTACTGCTTTTTTGAATTCATAGTAGTTAATTCAGTGGTGGTAATATATAAAAGAAAAATTGCATATGATAGTACAGGAAGAAAGAATTAGTTAGTAGAAGGAAAGATATGAAGCGGTTTTAATATCGCCTAAACTTATATTGGTATTGAGTTTTAGTTTATATTAGTATTTCATTTTTACTACCATTAAATCAATTAGTTATGCAAATCTCTTACATTGTTCAATATCACATCTTTACTTTTTATGGGTTAGACACACATTATTTTGGTATCCAAGATAAAGTTTATAAAATTTTCCTTAAACCTTCTGCTACTCGATAGTTGTTTAGCTAAAACCAGTAATTGTTCGAACTGAGACAAATTTTGTTTGATAATTACTTGGTGGGTCTGTAACAACTACACTAATTCAATGGAAAATCGACTGTTGAAAAACTGAGTGCCTTAATGTCAACATGAATCATGACACTATAAATTAGGCTGTTGACTGCCTAAATGTGTTACGTGATCAAAGTGCATGTCGAAATAATTCTATCAAGCGTTATCAAATGTGCATACTATTTAGGAATTTCACACAAGAATAAATTGGTGAGCTTATGAATTTAACAGCTGTTTTGTTCGAAATTTTATTTCTAGGGGCTTTCAATGCAGGTGTACCGGTTCAACCAGTAATCGTTCGCTGGCCAAATAAAGTGGTAAGTGGAGTCATGACACTCATTGTACGTATACCAAGATATTAAACTTTTTACTAATATTGTCTTAGTATCTGTTTTTCTCTAATATCCAACTTGGTAGCTTGGGTTTGCTCGTAGATTCTTGAAACCCTCAATGTTGGAAAATTATTCTGAATACGCTTCATCTCCTCATGGATTTTTGTTACATTTACAAAATAACAGGAGTTCAATCAACATGAGTGTTTCATTTTCAAGGATGTATTGGGCTGGCATTCATGTATTTTCCTATCATATGTTTTATATTGCTGATGTACAAACCATTCCTGTCTCTCGATGAAAGCGCTTAAATGAGCTTTTCAATCGAGTGTTAAATACTTGAAATTTCGTGTTAATAATGACAAAACTGCAGCTGAAACCTATTACATAGAAGTTGTCAGTTGTCTTCCCTCATTATTTTATTCTATTTGATCGATGTAGCCCTGCAAACCTTCAAGCTCTTGAATCTTAATTAACGTGGTTTTTATCCAATACATTTTCCAAACGTGTTTCCAACCTATGGTTTTATGTTTGTTTCATAAAAACTTAGTGTTAGACTACATACTATTAGCAACCTGAGTTTTTGTGCCATCATTTTCAGATATAAGTTTTTCCATCGTAATATCTTAGAGAACTCACTTTTTATGTCATTCCTCATTGCTGGTCTCAGCATCTTAATCATTTCCGTCTCATTCAATTATTAAATCACCTAACAGTTTCATTTCTCTGACTGTTCATCAAGACACCTCGGGGTTATCCGTGTGATTTCCCGTATGTCATTAAATTACCCTAATAGGAGATTGGATTTACCCATATGCTCACTTATTATAGTTTAAACTGTTTCAGGAATAATTATTGCTATAAATTGCAAAGATGGGTTTATGCAATTGTGTGTTGGGCGTTTGGCGGTTCGTACATTAACCATTAAGTGAGACAATCAATCATACAAAATATTCCAGATCAATTGACCAGAGACCATCAGTAATAACCTGCTGTGGCAGGAAACAAACCGGCTTTCAGCTTAGAAAATTAGGATAAGGTACTGCAATAATCATCAATTTGCGTCACAAGGCAAGTTTCAACGTGGGATTCCCAAGGCAAAAGAAAACGAGGCAAACCGAATCGCATGGCGCTGTGTTTTGACAACACATCAGAAGGATCAGTAGCACTTCAACAAGTAGGAAGCAGAGCCCACCACAGAGTTAGCTGGAAATTCCTGGTCGACGGCTTGTGCCTCATAAGGAGTAGCATGCTTAAGTGCAGTGATATTATTACTTTTTGACTGTTAATTCCTAGTCTATTTTTTATTTGAATACAAATATTGGTACAAGGGGGCTGTCTCGACGTGTGATGTTCAGTGGTATAGGAGCAGGTTGAAAGAAAGTTAGAGGCGGCCAGACCAAAACATGGCACAAGTCCATGAAGTCATTGACAAATGGACTAAGTCATGTTGGTAGGTGTAGACTACCTGGTTGGGGACCGCGAGATGATAGCAACCGATGGTTAAAGACCCTGAATGACATGGCTCAAAATCGTTTGCAATGGTGCAGGTGCATCCACTCTTTGTGTTCTCCCAAATTTAAATGTCCTGATTCCTCCTTGTTTCTTTTTTCTCTTTCCAAATTTATTTCACTGGATTATACTCCTTGAATAACATATTCAAACTCTATTTTTTCTGATTCCAGCTTATAATTTTACTACATCTAGCAATACGGGATTTGATTCGACCACTGCATCTCTGTGCTAATGTGGTATGGCAACTCGAACTGATGTACGTACGTACGAAGTTGTACGTTGTTACTGACTGACTGACTGACAAGGGGGCACCAAATATACATGTGCCCAGTCGAGAGCAAACATTTAGATCATATTGATATTAATCACTTATTTATTTATTTGGACAAATAAACACTGCTACAAGGAGGCACCAAATAGACATGCGCCACATAAATCATTCGGTTTGTGTAAGGGCTGTGATACTGCCCGGGTGCCCAAACTGAAGCAGGTGGTTCTCTTAGGAGGCCACACCACAAGTCTTTGATATAAAAGTCTGATCCACAAGCCAGTGGAGCAACTTTAGCGGAAGCAACCATATGGTAGCCGGTGACCAATAATTGGTTCATACGCCATTTGTTACTTCAGGATACTGGATCCAATTAGCACCATTGGTTTGGAATCAGGGTTTCCCAACTAACCTTGGTGGACCCTCCGTGTTCACCAACCCGGTTAAAGAGCCAAAGTTTCGCTTTTCGTCCTCTCAATTTCATACACGACCATGCGTATATAGTCTCTGCTAGGGAAGTCTTACTGCCTTCTCGTGGCGGGGTTGTTGTTTGCCAAATGAAGAGGACGAAAGCGAAACTCACTTCATGTATACTCATTTTCGAACTTATACATCAGCTCACCCATGGCGCAAACTCGGTTCTATCTAAAGGATCTTGAGTCACTGACTGGTCGAAAATTGAACGCTACCACCGAACACGAATGCTGAAACATTTTTTCTGAAACCAAGTGCACCATTGAAACTGACCGCCTTCAACGTTCGCTCACTAATGCAGATCGGACAACAGATAGGGCTGGCTATGTCCCGACAGATTGCAGCCCGGATAAATTTCTTTTAGAGTACCTATCTGGACTATGATCATGCCCTTGTTTGCGCCAATATTATCTTACGTTTCAGTGGTCAGAAAATTCATTGTCCCAAACGGATGTGTCAGTAAAGTGTTACGGGTTAATTTATATACCACAAATCGGCATCCTTAATTGACTTCACTTTACACCTGGAATATCTTTTTAAGGCATTGTGTAACTCTTATCTAGTGTTGTTTCAGTTGTCTTGAATTCCTGTTTTGGTCTTCGTTATCAAGTAATAATAACATATAATGGCCCCCTAAAATCACCAAAGCGAATGGTGTTTTTGAGAGCTACTTTCTTTTTCCACCCCTTTTTCGTATATCAGCTTATCGAACTTGGAGCGCTTTTGATGGAGCCAATCTTCCCAGGGAGATGCTGATCTGCCTGAAGAATATGAGTGGCAAGTATGTCTGAAGAAATGGTTCCAGCAATCTTTTAAGTGAAATTCTCAGTGTTTGGTACATGTTTCTTCCCTTCGTACTAATTTAGTACTAAAGCATATGTAGTTTTTTTGTGAATAATGTTTTGAGGTACCATTTAGCTACAGATGTCTTTTAATTTCCATAAGCATATATGGAAAGAGATTACTAAAATATTGTTTCACATGTGTAAATTACCAAACGTACATTTATTTAGTCAACTGAGATATAGTCTGGTGTTACATTTGGTTGCAACGCATTTGGTAAACACTTGACCCTCATAGCCTTGTGGCAATGTTTGTCGTTGAAGTGAGTGCCTAGCAGTCATATCACGTGACCAGCTAGCAAGTTTGTTTTGGAGTGGCTACCTGAAATACACTAAGGGTTTGCACTTAACGTTATACTACTTTGTTCTTGATGTGATGCTCTAGATAATACTTTTACCCACCAAATTCATTTCCTGTCCATAAATAATTCAAGCCGTTCCAAATACTCTGAGAATATGGTTTGGTGTATATGGACACTAGAAAATCGCTTTTTCTCTAGATATCTCGCGAGTCAATGGGCTTTAGACATTTTTTTCACAGTACAGGTATTTCCGGTCCTAAGTTGTTTCTTTCTGCATGGTTCTATTTATATAGAAACGTTTTCATTATGAGGTATAACTTTACCAAATATCACCCGTTAATGAGAAGCTTTTGTTACCTCACTGATCTGACGTGTCATTGGGTGGTTGCATATTGTATGATCGTTTACTTACATACCCAACGCTTTACACTGATATTTGATAGGTCATATTCAATCTGATTGACTGTCTTTGAAATTTAACTTCTTAGTCCTCTAGTTATTCGTTGCATGTAAATAGTAGAATTTTGAGTTCGTTTCAAACGAATATTGTATTAAAATCGCTCAATTTCCCCCCCCGAAACTAGTAAAAATTCATGGAAGTTGGTTACGGACTTAGTGGCAAACGCAGCATAAAAATATATGTAATGTGTGACTTTTTTCAGCCACTGTCGCTTTTTAAATTTATTTCTGATTAATGATTCGCACTGCTGAGGAGTCCCATACTAGGACGAAACGGCCGTCCAGTGCTTCCAGGTTTTCCATGGCGGTCTAGCTTCAACTGACTCATGATTACAATCTGTGAGATTCTCTAAACATTGTTGCATGATGTTCCTCCCTTTACTTGTTGTTTACCATCTATCATTAATGTGTAAATAAATATTTGTTTCTTTCTTGTATTCCAGGACAGCGTGACTTGGGTCTGCGAAGGTCCTGGTGTGTAAGTAACTGTTAGTTAACCGGTTGATATATTTCTTAACACTGTCTGCGAAATCTATTCACTATAATTTTGTTTTTATCCGGCTTCAAACTAAGATAACACGCTAGAACTGGTTTTAACTCTCGACATTTGTTTAGCGGATTTTTTCCTGCTTACAAACTAAATCTAAAATTTGTTCTAAATTCGAACCGTTTCTTGCCCTCTAAATCCAAGTTGTTACTTCAGCACCAACCAGAGTCAACACCTGAACTAATGATAGGGAGTGAAGTAGTCAAACGCGTCGACAACTTCATTTATCTTGGAAGTCTGATCAGTCCTAATGAGTTGGTGTCTGACGAAATCTCTGCACGAATTTAAATAGCTCGTTTAGTTTTTGCCAACTTACGTCACCTATGGCGAATGCGAGATATCCGTCTATCAATAAAAGGACGAGAACACTGCGCGGCAGTTCGTTCTGTTTTAATTTACGGCAGCGAAACGTGGCTATTGGGAGTTGAAGATACTCGTAAGCTTCGGTTTGGGCACCCGGGCAGTATCACAGCCCACACACAAACGATGAACTCTATGTCTATGGCAACTACTTTTCTCGCTCCGAAAAACAATCAATCGATTCAAATAATTATCATTACTATTATTGTCATTATTAATACTATTGTTATTACTATTATTGTCATTATTATTATTATTATTATTATTATTATTATTATTATTATTATTATTATTATTATTTTCCACATTATTCACCCTCTTTTATACTTATACAGCGGCTCGTCTTTGGTGGAAATCCGACTGTATCTAAACGTTCTCGAGTCACTGTCCGGTCGAAAATTGTATGTTACCATCGAATATGAGTACTGAAGCAGTTTTTCTGAAACCACGTGCGCCATTCAAACTGGCTGCCTTCAACGTTCGCACACTTATGCAGGTTGGTCAACAGATAGGACTGGCTATGTCTTTGGAAAGTCTTAATATCGATGTCTGCTGTCTATCCGAGACCCGTATTCAAGACTCTGGTGAAGTACTACAAATTCGCTCTCCATCTGTCACTTCAAAAAGCTTGTTTTACGTGCGCTTATCCGGGGACCCTGTGGCATCTTCGTCTGGTCTTGCAGGCGTTGGTGTCGCACTAAGCGCTAGAGCTGAGGCAGCACTAGTCGATTGGATCCCCATTAACAATCGTTTATGTGCTGTTAGATTAGAAAGTTCCATCAAAGTGAGAAGAAATCGGCGTGAGAAATGATGTCTTTTCGTCATCTCCGCCTATGCCCCGACAGATTGCAGCCCGGATGCAATCAAGGATGAGTTTTACCACCAGTTAACTGTTCTTCTCCAGAAAGTGCGTTCGACAGATATTGTAGTACTAGCCGGAGACTTGAATGCTCAGGTCGGGCGTCTAGGCACAGAAGAGAGTCGTTTAGGTGGCCGATGGGGACTCGTTGGTCGCAGGTCAGATAACGGGGACCATCTACTGCAACTTTGCACAGACCACAACCTGTTTCTGGCTAGCACTAACTTTCGGCACAGTCATCGCCGATGTGCCACCTGGCGTCCTCCCTCTGCATCTCAAGCCTGGACTCAGATTGATCACATCGCGATCAGCTACCGCTGGCGTGGTTGTGTAAAAGACTGCCGCTCCTTTTGGAGTACCTATCTGGACTCTGACCATGCCTTGGTCTGCGCCAATCTTGCCTTACTTTTCAGTGGACAACGAAGTGACCACCACCAAAAGATTGATGTTAGCAAGCTGGTTGCAAGTAAGTATCGAACCAAGCTAGCCTCTAGGCTAGCTACTACTCCACCGGAAAGTATAGATGAGCATTGGTTGCAATTGCATGACGCCATGAAAATGGCGGGAACAGTCAGTTGTGGGTTTGCGAAACGTCCCGCTTTTAAGCACTGGGTTTCTGCAGGTTCCTTACAACTCATTGAAGCCCGTCGGTCTACTCCGGGTGACCGTGAGTTTGACCATAAACGAAGGATGTTACGTAAGGAAATTGGGCAAAGCTTGCGTAAGGACCGAGAAGCCTGGTGGTCGATGCGTGCTAATGAGCTGGAAGCAGCAGCTGCATCTGGTAACTACCGGAAGCTCTTCCAGCTCATCCGAGCCACTGGCAGCAAGAAGTCTGGTGTGAGTGAAACAATCTGCGAGGATGATGGGATGCCAATCACTAACATCCATCGACGTCTTGGACGATGGGCAGAATTTTTCGAAGGGCAATTCAACTGGCCTGCTGCTCCGGCAACATCGGTCAGACTGTCCTGCCCTCCATGGCCGGTGACGACTGATCCACCAAACGAGGAGGAAGTCCGCAAGGAACTCCAATTATTGAAGCGTTACAAATCACCTGGCCCAGATGACTTACCTCCGGCTCTTTTTAAAGATGGTGGTGACTTTTTGACTAAGGAATTGACGACGTTGTTTACCAAGGTTTGGGAACTAGAGAGTGTACCAACGTCATGGAATGAGTCGATAGTTGTCCCTATCTTTAAAAAGGGTTCACGTCGTTCCTGCAACAACTATCGGGGGATAAGTCTACTTCCGATTGCATCCAAGCTATTGGCTTCCGTCATACTTCGTAGGTTGTTCAAAACCCGAGAAAGATTGACTCGCGAGGAGCAGGCTGGGTTTCGTTCTGGTCGAGGATGTATTGATCATATCTTCACCCTCCGCCAAATGTTAGAACATCGCCATAATTATCAAAGGCCAACAATCGTAGTGTTTCTTGACATCAGGGCTGCCTTCGATTCGTTGGACAGGACTGTTCTCTGGGATTGTCTATTGAAGAAGGGTGTGCCTGAGAAGTTTATTAACATCCTACAAGCCCTATATACAAACACCTCAGGCAGAGTGAGGGCATACAACCACCTCTCTCTATTGTTCCATTCGAGCAGTGGGGTTAGGCAGGGTTGCCCAATCTCACCATTCCTCTTCAACTTTGCCACCGACGACATTCTGGAAACAGCTCTGATGAATGTAAGTAATGGTGGTGTGGATCTGTTGCCTGGAGAAAGACTTCTCGACCTTGAGTATGCGGACGATATTGTCTGTGCGATAATGCCCAAGGCATGCAATCCGCACTTAATCAGTTGGCAATCAGTGTCCGTAGGTATGGTATGTGATTTTCACCTTCTAGACTTGCAGGACCCAGACCCTGTACTCACCCTGGATGGTGAGCAGATAGAAGTAGTCGAAAAGTTCGTGTATCTAGGTAGCTGCATAAGTGCTGGTGGTGGCGTAAGTGATGAGATCAATGCACGTATAGTGAAAGCCAGAGCGGTTTATGCCAATCTGGGCCATCTTTGGCGCCTTCGTGATGTTAGTCTGGCTGTAAAAGGTCGGATCTACAACGCGTCGGTGAGAGCAGTTTTGCTCTATGCTTGTGAAACCTGCCCTCTCCGAGTTGAGGATGTTAGACGACTTTCTGTGTTCGATCATCGCTGTCTCCGAACGATTGCTGACATTCAGTGGCAACACCATGTCAGTAATGCAGAGGTTCGGCATCGTGTGTTCGGGCACAGAGATGATAATTCAATTGGTGTCACCATCTTGAAACACCGACTTCGGTGGCTTAGACATGTATTTTATGTATGTCGTCTCAGAGAATTCCTCGTCGTGCATTATTTGCTGACGCTGGGACTGGTTGGAAAAAGTGGAGAGGTGGTCAGTGCATGACATGGTGTTTGTGGTATGAAATTGTTGTACAGGTCTGTCTTCTGTTGGTGTTTCACGACTCCCATTTTGGGGTCCTGGAGATGGCGCGACACAGTGGCTAGAGACGTTATCAGATATGGCTCAGAATAGAAGCCAGTGGCGATCCTGCTGTAACCTTTTACTTTCTTCATAAAAAGTGGTTGTGTCTCCCTCACCTGAAAGATTTCTTCCGATTGTACCTTTGCGTTCCCTGTTTACTAGCACATTACCTTACACCAATCTCTTCGTTATTGTTCTCTCTTTTTTGTGCTCCTTAGCTTCTTTTTTTTCTTTCTTTGTATTCCTCTTCGAATATTCATTGTTCTGTGTGGCGCATATATATTGGCGCTCTCTTGTACCAATATTCATGTGTCCAAATAAATAAATAAATAAAAGTATTTGACCACAGATGCCTTAGAAATATCGCTGGCATCTGCTGGGATCACAAGGTAAGTAATAGTGAGGTTAGGTGCATGGTATTAGGGAATGATGGCAAACCAGTTGATGAGGTTGTGAATCTTCATCGACTGAGATGGTTGGACAACGTATTACGTATGCCTGAACACCGAATACCACGGCGCTCTATGCTGACTAGTGTTGGAGATGGATGGAAGAAATTTAGGTTGTGGCCAAACCGAAACGTGGCATCAGTGCTTGAAGTCACTAACTTCTGGTTTGAGCCATGTTGGTAGATGCAGACTACTTGATTGGGATCCGTGCGACTGTCGTAACCAATGGTTGGAGACTCTTGTTGACATAGCTCAGAATCGATCACAATCGCATCGGTGTATAAACTGTTTTTCTTCCCTCAAACTAGGTGATTAAAATCACTTCATACCTTTCTTTGTACGAACTAATTCTTTCTCGCTGTACTATGTCTTTATATGCGATCTTTCTTCTATATATCACCCCCATTGAAGTAACTACTTCTATGAATCCAGTGTTCATCTTGTTGTGCTAATGATGTGTGTCAACTTGAACTAATGCATATATGTGCCTGGTCCTACGTTGTAACTGACTGACTGAATTGTTCCAAGCCCCTGTTAGTAAATATATTTAGTGTGTAGCTGTACCTGGAAAATCGTTGGGAGTTTTCGTTTGTTGAACGCTAGCGGCTGTTGCGTTCATGTTTTTGCTAATCATGTCGGTAATTATAGTTTTATTTATATTGGCGTCGCAAGACATGTTTTTATTCATATGGACCCCATTAATAATGAATAGTAAATTGTCCTTATTGTAAATTAAGTGATCAAGATTGTCACATGTGCAGTTTTATGACATTTACTAAATACATAATATATATGCATTAATACAACAAGAACACTACATACAATTCTACATTCTCACATGTTTCAAACGAATTATTTTAGAACAGTAATCTCATTCACGCATGAGTTGGATAATAATCAATGACAGGCCAACTAATGTGGGATGTTCAATACGAAAAATTGTGATTAGCTATTTTTCATCATATAACTGCGATTTTCAAAATATTTTACGGCATTGTTATTACTGATAAGCGTATAATTTCGAATCTGACATCTCGATCTAATCAAGTGAGCAACCCATTCAAGTGCTCTAAGTTTATTAACATTAACCGCCCAGAATTTTTTAGCATTTTATGACTTAATCCCAAGAGTCTGAACAAGATCCTTGGAACGAATATACTCCCAACTTTCTGTTAATCATTTGGTAACATGATATATGAAAACTTTCATCTGGTTTGAAGGAAAATAATTCCATTTCTTTGATAAAAATCTGGTTTTTAAGATGTAGGATTTGGTTATTTTATTCTTATTTTTACCAATAAACTGCCTGCTTAATAACAAATATATTTTTGTCATATCCCAGTGAGTAGAAAAATTGTATTTCTGACGTTTCGTGAGTTATTGTAAGGCACTTCTTCAGAGCAAATAAATCACCGACACTAAATAAACACAAGTTTTAAATTCTGACGAAGTGTCTTACATTAAGTCGCGAAACGTCAGAAATACTATTTTCCTGCTCATTGGGATATAAAGAAAATACATTTATTGTTAACTCTACCGAATGTTCAATTTATTTGAAACTTTCAAGTCGAACTTTGCTATGTATACCTAAGAAGTGACTGCTTGTATCACGTAATTTATCAAACCTATTTTTTCTCCTTCTCATCAATGCCCTAAGGTTTAAGTTACTATGGTTGTTGCTGTCACAGTTCAACAATAGATTGGAAATCGAAGTAAGTTATCTGTGTTTTGTTTAGAAAAATATTGAATGTTAATAAAAAATAATTAATTAAGGTAATAATTGAGAGAGGTTCTCCACATTGATTATTATGTCAGGTATGGTCCTGAATATAAACCAGTAACGATCGTACTGTAATGTCTTTTTTACAGTTTTCGTAACAATGAAATGATCATCAACTGAAAAAATGTCCCTTAAGTATATTTTTGACTATACTGTACATTTTATTAAATGTTATTTCTGTTGGTTACTTTTTTCACTATATCGTCTCTCCTTTATTTCTTCACTCTTCCCTTCATTTGTACTGCACATGTAAAGGAATTAAAATTGATGAGTTACGGATGAATTGTGTTCGTGCTATTTTATATCCAATATTTAGTAGCTTATCGCTCAGCTTTTGGGTGAATTGTATGTCGCAAAGCTGTTAAAAAACCGTGCCTTAGTTTGATGGTATCAATTTACACAATTGTCACAAGAATATGAAATTGAGTTGAATAGATTACAGGAAAATCCTATGTCGACAACATCATAGCGTAATAGAATTTGTGGGCATATTGGATTCAGTTAGTTATGCTTTGATGAACACAAAAATCATACTAATAGACAAAATATGTGTTTAGGTGGGCAAAGTTTTCGTTTTTTGTTGGGATGTTACCAATCATGTTTTGTGCTTCAGTCAACAACTGCGTAGATATGAAATAAAGATGATTTTAATTAATACCAATCACATTTTATTGAATAGATGTTGAGTTGAATTCTAACCGATTATGATGAAGAAAATTTTACAATAAAAGCCAGTAACTGGTCATTTTTTCACTATATTGAAACATCGACTTCGGTGGCTTAGACATGTATTTTATGTATGTCGTCCCAGAGAATTCCTCGTCGTGCATTATTTGCTGACGCTGGGACTGGTTGGAAAAAGCAGAGAGGTGGTCAGTGTATGACATGGTGTTTGTGGTATGAAATTGTTGTACAGGTCTGTCTTCTGTTGGTGTTTCACGACTCCCATTTTGGGGTCCTGGAGATGGCGCGACACAGTGGCTAGAGACGTTATCAGATATGGCTCAGAATAGAAGCCAGCGACGATCGTGTTGTAATTTTCTTTACTTCATAAACTAAGCGTTACTTCTTTAACTGAAAGAATTCTTTCTGGTTATATTTTTGCTAACTGAACTGTTTCTCCCACTATCAATTATTTAAATATTATTTCTCTCTCATACTCTAATTTCTTTTCGTTGTAGTTTTTTATTATACACATTTTGCATTCTCTATCTCTTCACAATCTCATAGTTATTTATGTAGCGCATATGTATTTGGTGCTTACTTGTACCAATATTTATGCGTTCAAATAAATATTTATTATGAGCAATTATTTTGAGTGTTTTAACATATCTTTCAATTTTTTTTATTTCAAAGTTTTTACCAGTTTATCAACCAAACGAAGATGAACAAATGGACGCTCAATTATATGCTAATAATATCCGTCGGATCATGGCGGAGTCAGTTCACTTTCTTTTTATTTATTCTTAAAATTAGGGATGTCTTAAACATATTTATTCTTGGTTCTTTTAACGAGTTAAAAAACCTGTAACAGTAGAATACAAATATATTAATACATTTCAATTTTAAGATGTAGAGACTTATCCAGCGAATTTATCCGTTCGTAAGAGGAATTAAACAACTCAGAATCTTTATAAAAAGCAAAAAAAACATCGAAAAATGCGAAGAAAATGTGCATAGATTATTTTCATATACTTCCTTGTGAGTAAAGGATGAATGCTGTTCAACTACAAAAATTGTTGTTTTTCTTACTGTTTATACAAGTAATTTTTGGTATATTGAACGGTTCACAACAGTTTTTGTTTTTTTGTGATCTGAAGTTTGTTAAAGAAAATCTAAAAATATTATTAACACAGGTTATGGAACCTGGAGTTATCATAAGTTGGGAAGAAGTGTATGCTAAGGAATAAATGCGAATATGACTATACTATTCAATGGGAGAATATAGATTTAGTTGACAATACAAAAGGCTATTGAGTTTTGGGACTTGCATCCGTTTGTATTATAACGAGATTAAATTCAACCAGAATAAGTCATTTCGTTAAATAATCCGTTTCGCCATACATAAGAATTGTCAATAATTACATTCTTTTGTGTAAACATTTATGTAGTTTACGTGGTAGAGTTTTCCAACAAATAACGTTTCGTCTCTATGTAGAATACTTATTCGTTTCTTACCTTTTTTAAACTATATTCAGACATTTGAATGTCCCACTCTGCGATTTATCTTACGATGACTTCTGTCAAATCAGAATAGCATTCAAGTATAAAATACCAGGATATGAAACAGTAGTTTATTTGAACTCCTTACTCCAAATGATGTTGTGAGTGTTTTTTATCAATTTTTCTCTTTTGTCTACATAATCAGTTACAATTTTTTCTGGTATGGAAGAAAACTATGAGAGTCCTGTACTTATATTATTCCGTTTACGATAACGAATTTGCTGACCACCAAAGTACAGAATAACTGACACACTGGAGTATAATTAAAATCTAAGGCGATATTGTAGATGCATCATGTGTTACTCACATTTTCTCATGTCAGTTGATTATGGTTACGGAACTAGTTCACTAGGTAGCGAATTTACAATGACTGTTCTGAATCATGATAGTGACCAGAAATATGTGGTCTGCACACAGCTTTTAATGAGTCATCGTTATTTTATTAGTAATTATGAAGTTTGTGTTAGTATTCCAAACTATTCTTCTCGGTCCCTAAATCTCTGGTCTGGTTATACCAACCTCTAACTACGGATACAGTACTAGTCGAACGGTCTGTGTTATGAGATTACTCATTTGTTAGTAAAAATCATCATTGTGTATGTACTTAGACTAAAGTCTTTATTGTAGACAATTATAACATGGAACTGGCGATTCCCTTGCTAACTGTTACTTGCTTGAATTTAATCTTCTAGCCTAGCAGTGTATAAGCGGCTGTACGGATTTGCAACGTAATCTTATAGTCGATAGATGGCGAATGAATTCGTAGTAATTAATGCGAGTCTAGAACAAGAGCCTTATACATACATTCTTAACTAGATCTGACTGTTTTTCGCACTCCATCAAAGCACAAAAATCAAATATACCAGGTAACAAACATTCTCAAAGTACCATGAAATTAAGTACTGAGCGTCCTTTTTGAAAAAAAAACCAATTATTTTTCGAGATAAGACTATCTAATGGGGATAAAACTTTCGATCGTAGCAAGTTGTTAATTAAGACATATTCAAATCAAAGTAAGGACGAGTATAAAGCTCGCGGAAATAAAAGGTAACAAAAATGTAAAGTTGTATTAAATAGACTTGTTCATCACAAGATATTTACAGTTTTGAGCATTTGTCTGTAACTTGAGTAAATGTTGGTCGTTTTTTAAACTTTAGTTGTAGATGTGGTAGCTATGATACCATCTGGTGGCTAAACGTGAACAGACGGTTTTTATGTAAATGTTGTTAATAACTAATTTAACATTTAGTTCTCGAAATATTTCTGTAATACAATTTATGTTATAGTGCGCTTGAACATAATTGTGATTTGATAACGGATGAAGATAAACAAGCGGAATGGTTTCAAAGACGTCTTGAAAGCATGCTTGGTGTATGCCGACGTAAACCGTACTTATCACGAATGGAATTTACTCAAACACTATTTCAAACAAGTCAACCTAATTCAAAAGCTAATTATCTAATCAATTTAGTTGTGAAATATTATAGTGATCCAGTAAGTTTATTTTGTTTCAGTCCTTAGAGTTAGTAAAACATTCTCGAATACACCGACATTGAACATTTTTAATCGTAAGAAATATACTTTATTGCATGTACGAAACGGCATCACAAAACAAACATCGTAATAGGTAGGGTTGTAAATATTCCCACCAATCTCACCTTTGTTGTATATGTGGTTGTAAAAATAATTTGTGTGTTTTTCAAAAAAAAATAATTCAAGTTGTCTGTGGACCTTCTCAGTAATAAATTGTAATCTTTTACATTTGTTCTCTGATTAGACAGGTGTATACTTGTAAGTATAACTTATGGAAATCCATGTTTTATTATTTTTTGTAGTCATCAAATAATCTCAATTTTCGTATGTGTATGGTTCATACATCTATGCTACTATTTCCAAAGTTGCCTCATCAAGCATTTTACTATGCTACAAAGGTATGCTCATCGTTGTATTGTTTCGGATAGATTCTCCCCTATACTGTTTATGTTGTTTTCTGTTTTTATTATTGTTACTACTACTACTACAACCACAACTATAAATGCGTATCCATTGATAGTCTACTAAATCACTTTTATTTTGATGCATTATTCATGAATAAATTCATTGTATATTGGTCATTTCTAATGTACTTAATGGAAAAACAATTGTCTTTTACACGAGTAGTGTAAATATGTCGAAAAATGCTATTCATTTAGTTTTAAAAAATATATCACAGTAAATATTATTCAGCTATGTACCTGAAAACGAATATGCTTTTCAGTTACAGAGAGGTAATAGTTTTCAGATTTTTTTATTAGGCTTTTTTCGGCGAGCCATTGGCTATGTAATCCATCTACGTAACTGTCTGTTTACTTAATCACTTATGTAGATTTTGAAAACAGATACCCTAATTAAGGTTGAAACTATCTTCATCAAGTGAACAAACATGATGGATGATAAGAGTTGGATTTTATTCTTGTTATTTCTTTCGCTAATTATTCTGCATAAGCTACGAAATGTTATTTCTCCAAATTTAATTGATTACCGTTTAGTTTCAATTCTAAATAAAACAACAATTTGATGATTTATGAATTCGATTAGATTCGTTTTGATTTTTTCAACTCTTGATTCATTCAGACTATCTATGCTAAACTTCAGTATGAATCGTCTAATTTACACTTCATCCACTGTAATAATATTTGCCTATAGGTTTGTTCCGGAAATGAACACTAACAGTTGATTGTTGTACCGAGGAGCTACTCTCATCATTATTTAGTCAACTTATTCACAGAGAAATTTAATCTACTTGAATGATGTTGGAGAGAGTCCTCTCTCTCTCTTTCTCTAAATGCTCTCACATAGCTACTCGTATACAACCACTGCCAGGGAAGTCTTACTGACAACTCTATCCCGGCGGGCTGGTTGTTTACGAAATTGAGAGGACACCCGGGTAGTGTCACAGCCCTCAATCGAATCAATTATAACTACGTCCAGAAAAATTCTACTGCTTCAACGCTTTCTCATACAAATCTTATTCACCATCTTATGGTGACAATCGTTCTTCTACAGAAAATGATTTCAACCTATATTGTAGTAATATCCGGACACTTAATACTCAGGTTGGGCATCTACGTGCAAAAGAGTTGTGTAGGTGACTGATGGAAACTTATTGGTCGCAGGTCGGATGACGGTGACTATCTACTACAACAGCGCAGACTACATCCTGTTTCTGGTTAGCACTAACTACCAACATAGTCGTCGCCGATGTGTTGTCTGGCATCTTTTTTCTGCATTTCAAGCCTAAGTTCACATTCACCACATCACGACCAACTGCAGCTGGTGTAGTTTTGTTCAAGACTGCCGCCCGTTTTGGAGTATCTATCTGGACTCTGATCAAGCTCTTGTTTGTGCTAATCTTACCTTGCGCTTCAGTGGCCAACAAATTCATCGTCCTAAACGGATTGATGCCAGTAAATTGTTTGCAGCTTCTGTTTCAACTAAATATCAAATCGAGCTAGGTTCTAGGCTACATACCATCACACCGAAAAGTGTATATGGACATTTACTGCAATTGTATGTCGCCACAAGTAAAGTGACTTCGCTAAAGATCTCGCTTATTAGCACTGGTTTTCTTCAGGCTACTTACTACTCAGTGAAGTTCGTCGGTCTACTCCGCATGACTGCGAGTTGGACTATTAACTGTTATGTAATTAACCTTGGTAAAGCTTGTTGAGGGACCGAAATACCTGGCGCTTGGAAACTGCCAACGAGTTGGGAGCTACAGCTGCATATATTGTCGAAAGGTATTTCGACTCGTCCGAGTCACTCGAAGCAAGAAGTCTAGGGTGGGCGAAACAATCTACGAGGATGACGGGATGCCAATCACTAACATCCATCGGCGTCTTAGACGATGGATAGAGTTCTTCCAAGGGCAGTTCAACTGGTTGGCTGCTCCGACAACATCGATCAGACTATCCTGCCCTCCATGGTCGGTGACGACTGATCCACCAAATGAGGGGGAAGTCCGCAAGGAACTCCAACTCTTGAAACGTTACAAATCACCCCACCCAGATGACTTACCTCCGGCACTTTTTAAAAATGGTGGTGAATTTCTGGTTAAGGAACTGACTACGTTGTTTACAAGTTCTAGTAATTAGAGTGTGTTCCAACATCGTGGAATGAGTCGATAGTTGTCCCTATCTTTAAAACGGTTCACAAATTTTTCTGTACCAACTATCAGGGGATTAGTCTACTTCTGATTACGTCCAAACTATTGGCTTCTGTCATACTTCGTAGGTTGTTGAAAAATCGAGAAAGATTGACTCGCGAGGAGCAGGCTGGTTTTCGTTCTGGTCCAGGGTTGCTCAATCTCACCATTCCTCTTCAACTTTGCCATCGATGACACTCTGGAAACAGCTCTGATGGATGTAAGTAATAGGGGTGTGGAACTGTTGCCTGGAGAAAGACTTCTCGACCTTGAGTATGCGGATGATATTGTCTTACTGTGTGATGCTCAAACCATGCAATCCGCACTTAATCAGTTGGCAATCAGTGTCCGTAGGTACGGTATGTGATTTTCACCTTCTAGACTTGCAGGACCCAGACCCTGTACTCACCCTGGATGGTGAGCAGATAGAAGTAGTCGAAAAGTTCGTGTATCTAGGTAGCTGCATAAGTGCTGGTGGTGGCGTAAGTGATGAGATCAATGCACGTATAGTGAAAGCCAGAGCGGTTTATGCCAATCTGGGCCATCTTTGGCGCCTTCGTGATGTTAGTCTGGCTGTAAAAGGTCGGATCTACAACGCGTCGGTGAGAGCAGTTTTGCTCTATGCTTGTGAAACCTGCCCTCTCCGAGTTGAGGATGTTAGACGACTTTCTGTGTTCGATCATCGCTGTCTCCGAACGATTGCTGACATTCAGTGGCAACACCATGTCAGTAATGCAGAGGTTCGGCATCGTGTGTTCGGGCACAGAGATGATAATTCAATTGGTGTCACCATCTTGAAACACTGACTTCGGTGGCTTAGACATGTATTTTATGTATGTCGTCTCAGAGAATTCCTCGTCGTGCATTATTTGCTGACGCTGGGACTGGTTGGAAAAAGTGGAGAGGTGGTCAGTGCATGACATGGTGTTTGTGGTATGAAATTGTTGTACAGGTCTGTCTTCTGTTGGTGTTTCACGACTCCCATTTTGGGGTCCTGGAGATGGCGCGACACAGTGGCTAGAGACGTTATCAGATATGGCTCAGAATAGAAGCCAGCGACGATCGTGTTGTAATTTTCTTTACTTCATAAACTAAGCGTTACTTCTTTAACTGAAAGAATTCTTTCTGGTTATATTTTTGCTAACTGAACTGTTTCTCCCACTATCAATTATTTAAATATTATTTCTCTCTCATACTCTAATTTCTTTTCGTTGTAGTTTTTTATTATACACACTTTGCATTCTCTATCTCTTCACAATCTCATAGTTATTTATGTAGCGCATATGTATTTGGTGCTTACTTGTATCAATGTTTAAGTGTTCATGTAGTAATATTATATATAAGTTAGATGAATACTTACTTCATAATCAGAAGGAACATTTAAAAATGTTCAGGTTGTCAACTGCACGCTTTTAATTTATTCAATGTTATTTATTGAATTAATTAACGACGACATACGTGATGCGATAACTAAATTCAATCAACTATAGCACATACGAATAATGAATAGGGCCTAAGTAATCTGCTATTATTATTTACATGTTTAGTATAAGTGTATTCATTATATTTTGAAGTTAATTTTTTCCTAATTATCCGTATATATATTTTTTATCCCCAACTAAATAAGACGTTTCCAATCTTTCATGAAATTCACTAAACTTCTTATCATAAAATTTTCTAAAATCAGGAAACCTATCTATCATCGTTATCTTATAATGTTCCAGGCATATAATCTGTGTTCTTCACAATCTGATGTAAATATGGCGAAAGATTGGGAAATTAGTCGTTCTGATGCAGCGGAGTTATTGGGTTTTGCGTTCACTTTAGAAAATGACGAAACAGTTAATCTTATACTTGATCGTGCTTACCTGATATATAAATCTACTCATTCAGATAATTCATCCAGTGGAATTAGTGGGGGTAAGAAATTGTCATTATGCATTTCTAATTGCTCTGTATTAATTCGATGCACTTATGTGTCAGCCAATATTAAATTTTCAAACTACTTCTATAACATAAAACTAGGTTCTTCTACCTGCAGCTTTTTTCATGTGGACTTTATAAATCGTTCGCTAATCATTATTGTTGAATTTTTTAAATAAATTAATAGTTGCTTCGTATCTAATTGCTAGTTCTTATCTTGTGATTTACAATTATCAGCTAGTGACTGTGAATAATGTTGAAATTACGAAATCTATTTAATTGATTTAGATTTGAATCGAAATTGAATAAATGGGGACTCATTGTCTGGAGATCACTAAAGCGTATACTTCTAAACCAAATTCGTTCTATCATGTAATTTTCGTAGATCACTTCGAAATGTATATCCAGCACTATTTTATTTATCGTCTGCTTCATAAGTTTCTGATCTCTTGTAAATGCAAAAAAAGTTAATTCAAGGTATGGTAATGAGTACCGTCAGGATCTGAAGTGAACCACTAATAACTTTAGTAAACTTACGTCAGTTGACAAATTTTTTCCTAATCTTAAGATTTAACAAGGTCATATGAATTTCGACTCTTATTGAAGTATCCTCTTTACTCCTACTTCTGGCGAGAAACTTACGTTATTCGTCTATGATATCCTTAGTTCAATCAAATAATGTACAGTCTCTTTCAATCCCATATTAGAATTATATTCGATAGTTTTGCTAATTCTAAATACATTATATATCTATGCAGAAATACCTTGTAGACCGAACATCCGACTATTTCTGAGATACTTTTGTATAATTTATTGTTTACGTTATTCTATAAGATATATCGGACCGATCAGTCATGTATTTCTCAAAGCTGCGAGATCATTGTATTTCACTTACAAAAAGACAGTAAAACGATGTGTTTCATTTTTCATTTGAAATTACCACCTGACTATAGAATGCGAATGGTTTAATTATGTACGTTTTTCAATGACGTTTCCAATCTACATATTCGTATGCAACTTAGGGAATGTTGTTGTTTATTTGAATATTCCTTGATATTTATTTTTCTTATCAACTTTCATGTATAAACCATTTCATAGTGTATCTTGTCCTACATTTCCTTTTAAAAAAATAGAGTACTTATATGAGGGCCTTTTATATCACCTGCCGGATGTAGCTAATTGTTATGCTCATTTTGATGCAGAAATCAACAAAGTTTTTGGTCGTCATCGTCGTTCATTAATCGACTCAACTTCTACATCAGAAAGTGATCTTAATGATTTAAAATCAACACATTCTGTCCCTGTAGTTAATTCTTTGAATGCTACAAGCTGTCCAAACATTACAACTATCTCAAATAAAAAAACTGAAATATTGCCCAGTCATTTTGAGTGCATTGATGTTACAGAAATCCCACCAATTGAAACTAATAATTATTCTGAAAAATTGAAAGATAATGTCCACCTAAGCAACAGTCCGCTCAGAGATGATCAAAGTATTAACTTTCGTGGGCGTTATTCTGAACGTGGTATATAAATTATTCAACACGAACATCGTTTTCCCGTATTTTGCTATTTTTTTTTCATTGATGCAATTTCTGGTTCCATGCAAAATAAAAGATTGTGAACGATCGTTTCTTGTGTCTTCTTCGTCTTATTTCGTTTTAAATATCTATTCAAATAAGTCTGTAGAAATGTTCTCTCTCTGCTAAAATACAGATTTATATATTTATATTTTAATATTCCAAAATTATAATTTGAAGTCCATTATGTAAATTTGTAATAAAATATGTTTTTCTGCAAAGTTTTTCAATACCTGTACTAAATTACACTCTCCTTGTTGGCTTGTATTGCTAACATTTTTAAAAACATGATATCAATGTAATATTTTGCAATACAATTTCAATTCTACCGTATAAGTAAACATTTTTTCACTTTATTCTTATTAATTTCTCATATTGCTAAATACAATTGAGTAAAATTTCAGGAATTACAAACAGGACTTTGTTCATAGTTGATTAAATCAATACAACGCATTGTGTGACTTTATTTATGTGTCCTTTAAAAACATTACCACAAGAAAATAAACACGTAGTTTCTATTCTTGTCGAAAACTACTAAAATTTGTTCATTTTTATTCGATATCTTCTCTTGTATTTACTTACATTCTGTTTACTTCTACATAAGTTACCTTTTATGACTGGTGTTCACCCTCCTTTTATGTTCACGTTTTATATATCGTTTTCTCAGCGAGATTTTTATTTAGCGTTTGTAATTATTTATGAGTGTTATGAATTTCGAAATTCACTTTTTTACGGTCTCATCAATCGTACATCCGTCCAAACACATTCTTGTCTTATGTATGTGTGTAAATTATATATATATTTATATATATTCGTGTTTTTATGCAAAATTCCTGCCTTATAACAGTTTTGTGTTTACTGGTGAACTGTTTTTTATCAACAATAATAAACTATACATAAGTCGTTTGATTTTTATCTACCGTTGCTTTGAACTTTGATTATTTATCATGTGATACGATGCACTTGGTAATTTCTTTGTACCTCCTATGGAAGTGATTTACCAGTTGAACTTTGTCCCACCAAATCTGTGCTTGGCATGCATGTGTCTGTAGATGTGTGACTGTGATCTATTTTTATTTTTGTATATCGGGCATAATTCAATGGTATTGTTTCCACTGTAGTCCTTGAAGTACAAACTCACTAAATAATTACTACTTGTGAGACTTCAAAATACTGCCTGTTTACACGTATGTTAAGTTTTAATTATTTGAAAGTGTAGATAAGAATCCTCAAACTAATGAAAACACTTCGGTTTTATTTTTAGAATATTCAAGCAACAAAATTATTCATTTCCAGCAATACAGCCTGCAAATACACGTGATGAATGTAGCCAATTTTTTATGTGACGTGAAGTCATCCATAGTATTGCAACTGCATTCATCTGTTTTCTAGAAACTGAGCCCATTTTCATTCTAAACATTTGTCGAGGAACAATAAATACTTCACCTTTGTTTTATCTGTTACATCGTAGATAGTTGTACCCCCAACCCAGTATTTATTATTTATAAAATTTATCCACGAAACCATTCCAACCATGTCAAGTAACCAATTTTAGAACGTGATTGAAATCCAAGGAAATAAAATTATATCACTTTTTGCCGTACAACTTCACATTATAAAAATAAAGTAATATTTTATGAGATACATAGAAACTGAATTATTTCTTAGGTGTTCATTCTATGGTGAACAGAGCATTTCGGAACAGAACTATTTTGTAATAAGCTCTAGATTTGTTATGATCAACCATGTTATAGATTCTCAAAACTACTATCGTTGGATTCATCGGCACAACGAAAGGCAATAATTAGATGTCTTCACTATGGTGTTGAAGGGACAAAAGCTGCTCGAACGAACTGTCATTCCTCTCAATTTGCTTCTACATTTTTTCCGAGTCTTTTGAATAGGTTTTTATTTCAGGGCTTCTCAGCTGTCTCCTTACTTCCCAAGTCCGCATTCCAGTCCATCGGCCTCCTCTGGGATAGGATGATATCGTAGTTTTACAATGAGAACCACTTTTCGTTTCCATATCATATAGATTAATATTCATGATAATTCCGGTATATTTATCATGTAATACCGAGATAGTTTTTGAATAGATGGCATACCAATTAAATGTTCTGTCAAATCTGTTAAGGAAATGGTCAATTCTTTTAAAGATATTGTAAGTAATCGATCTTCAGAAAATTTAGGTATGCCTTAGTGGCTACTCTGATATGCCATAATTCTTATTAAACACTGACTTGTACATTTGTGTAGTTTGGAAAATGAACCTGTAATCATACTCCAACTAATGTCCGGAATTTAAAGTTTATTCCATCGAATTAATTATAAAATATATTACACTTATAGTATGTGCTTTTGATCGATTGTAATAAATTACTGCACAGTTTATTTGTTAAGGAATTTAGTAAATAGCTACATATACTCCTAGATGAATTCATTTTCTTTGCTAGTAATTATCAGTTGAAATATGTGCATGTAAATTCTATATTGTACCAAAATATAATATTGAATAAAGCCATTAATAATAATAATAATAATGTAGAACGGATTGTTTTGTATATCTGACTCAAACTCTTATATTCTGTAAGCATTGGTGCCATTGAACCTTCTGTAAAAGATTGGGATTGTAAATACTTGATACACGAATGTTTGTTCTTGTGTTTCCTGTTTTTGTAATTACAAACAGTCGAACAATCACTAAATGAAAGCATTCTATGATATGACGATAATGTGAATAAAAAAATTTTCAGTTTAGCGTGTTGGTGTTCTAGATTTTTCATATGATAACCAGTTTACATAAGTCTAGGCATTATCTTCAGGGAATATTGTATTGGAAAACTGAAGATTAATTTACTTGATCTTTATTGCTGGGGCTGCATAAAAACGTTAGCTGTGATACATAAAAAACATTGACTATCAGGCTAACACTCATGCATTATCGTTAAATTTACGCGACTCAATTACTAAGCTCTGTTCAGTTTCTCTGCTATCATTTCACATTTCCCTTGACTACTGTTTATCTTAGAAGAACGTAATTAATCAATTTTCATCACACATGATTGCTCTGTCCTAGTCCACGGTTAGCTTAATTGAAGAGAATAGGTCCAACAACTGAACTGACTAATAATTAGGTTAATTAAACATGCGTAGGCAAACTGTTATTGATGCTCAGTTGATGAAGTTAACTGAATACCTCTGTGTTGCAGCACTGTACGGAACAATGTTTTTCTGAGTTATTGCGTCAAAAACTTAATTTCCAATAAAATAACCCTTAAATAAGGGATTTTTGATTTTCTTACTTCCGGTGAAATTCTCTTACTACATTTGTGTTTGAAGTGTATAATTGAAGGATTTTCTACTTTCTGTTATTTTGTGTGACTTACAACAGGCTAAGCTGTAATTTTAGTTTATAAATCTGATCACAACTTAAGATTTTCGTTCTTCTTCATTTACATCAGCCATACAATCTTGTTTATTCGTGAATACATGCTGCTCCACAATATACTTCATATCCAGCAAATAAAACCCGTCGTATGTATGTAACTTGTTTTCGTCTCTATTACAGTACATTTTGTCTTCGTCAGCTTGTGGAAAACAAGATCGACCATTGGTTTATGATACTTAGGCTATCAATTAAAAATGTCACTTCTGTTCCTTCCTTGTAAAGCGATTTATCGTTCATCTATTTTGCTAAAATTTAATTCTTGGCATAAATTGTAAACTTTAAATAATTATTAATTCTTATGTACCGTAATCAGTGATTTCCATTAATATGTTTTTGTTTGAAACGATATTTTATAATTAAAATACACTACTGACAAAAGGAATTTCATGAATTTATGTCCATAACTTAAATATTATACAATAATCATATTCCTTAGTCTTTTGGTCCAGTAAGTATTGTTTTCGCGAGGTATTCTAGGACAAACTGCATTTGTAATAGCAGTCACCGAATCGACTCATAACTTCGTTTATCCATCTGAACAACAATTTGGCACTCCTTTTTCGCAAACGATTAATAAACTGATTTTCTGCTCTGTTATCTCATATCCTACTGAAAATCACATCGATTAAAGCGTGAATAAAGGTCACTTATTAAACTAAACTAAACCTTTAAATATGTGAGACTACACTATTAATATGGTTATTTGTTTGTTCAATTTGCACAAGTTTCAAGACATTCACTATACACATAGAAACTTAAATCAATCATACGATTGTTGTTGTTCACAACTGTTATTTCTAGTTTGTATGCTAGTCATACCAGTTTGATAATATGGTCATTTACTGTATATGATTATTAATTTGTAACATAAGCAAGTTCCGCTTTTCTGTTTGAAACCTGGTGTTATGTCTTCAGTTCATCGATAAAATTAGAATTAATGGTGTGACTGCACTGATGATTTTCCCACCTAGAAGATCCTAAAGAAAACAGATTCAAAAAGGTTTAGTTACTGTCCAACTGTCTTCTTATTGTATATTGTTGAGTAAACAAAACGAGCATGTATATGCAAAATATTCAGCTATAACCGTATGGTTTAGCTAACTATCGGTTAAACGTTCAAAATAGAATAAATAAAATTCACAATCCAACTAATAATCGTCCATACCTACACATCCATGTGAACTGAAACGTACTATGAATTGTGAGCTTATCTTACTTGCATACGTTTTTTTTAACTGAGTATCGGAATAGAAACTTTAGGCTTCGTTATCCATTATTGTCCAAAAGCGATTGCCGCTTGAAAATATTTGGCCAAAAAGTCACTTATGGGTGCACGGATGCTCGTTTCTCTGTATGATCACATTCGATTCCGAGAATATAATTTTCGCTAATAAGTTCAATTTCATGATTCATCACTTATAGTATACATATTTCTTGTTATATCCCAATCCAACCTTTGCATCGATACCCATAATCTTCACTTAGTTTCATAGTTTCACACCAATAAGTTGTTTTGTACTCATCTGACATCATTAAGTAGAAGAAAACAGTTCTTTACCAGCTCTTTGCTTATCCCCAGAAGAATATAGCTTGTTTTTATCAAACTAACAAAATGGAAATTGGTTTTTAAATTATTTATTTACATACTTTATTATTATAATGTAGATCGTCAGCAATGGCAAAAAATCAACAGTCCAGTAATATCGTATCAATGGATATAGAAGAAAACTCAAATGATAACGATGTTTTTCTAGAGAAATGTATTTCATTTGCTGAAATCACCTCCACTGACCGAGCACTTGGAATGATGTATCTTCAAAATTATAACTGGGATCTAGAGGTTAGTGTTTTGTATTATATCCACGTTGTATTAGTGAGTTATAGCTTGGAGGTTCGCTCTTAAATTTGCGTTCATTGTTAGTCTAATTTCACTGTTTATATAGTTTTGTATAGCATTATGCATATTAAATTTAATAATGTAATCAGAAATAATTAATCGAAGTTTTCAAATCCGATTTTCTGGGTTTTAGTACTGTTTTGTCTTATATGTTTAGTAACCTTTTAACTAATTATTCTAAAACTGACTTACTTAGTAAATGGATAACAACTACGATTTATTGGGGGAAATATACAGAGAAGCATGATTCTGTGAGCTTTTCATTTAAAGTCTATTTAAGATTACAGAAGCTTTAGCCAGTTACAGTTCTAAACTATGTAGATGTAAAAAAACAAAACAAAAAAAACAACTGAAACCTTTCTCTTTAACGTGACCCCTTTTGCAAAAATGTTCCAATTTACCGTTTTGCTAACATTCTATTAATACGAAAGCATTTCAGTAATCAGGAATCTTGGTCATCATTCATATTTCAGAACCTCAATATTTACTTTCAACTCAGATGTACAAATATTTACTTTGTTATTAGGATCCCTTTCAAAATTATTTACAGTATAATTTTCTGATCACTAATGAGAAGTTAATTGTGTTAAATATATGCATTTAATGTTCTCACTTTATCAACAGTGCTTTTGTTGAAAACACAAACAGATAAATATAGAATAAATTTATTAACCTATCACAAAAACAAGAAAGGAAAAAATTACGTTTTTATTTTACTTTTTCTCATACTATTTTATTTGGACGTCAACACTAGGATTCAATTACATCTGACAGAACAAAACACTCGTCCTAAACTTCACTCCTAACAGTAAGCCATCTATTCTATGAAATTTGTGATAAAGTGGCCATATTGAGGTAATCAGTACTGAGTGCATATATGCTAACAAAGACTGGTTGAAATTTAGTCCTGAACATCAAAATTAGGGTGATTCGAACCAATATTAATAATGATCTAAATATTATACCAGGTGAACAAGTTAGTGGTTAACTGTACTCAGTAACTGAGTAGAAAGCGCGTTGGAGTTTGAAGCGGAAAGTATTTGGATCTGGTCCCAATTTGAACGTGGACACTAAAATTCAGATGCATCCGTCTGAAGAGTCTTGAATGAGGGGAACTAAGTTCTACTTCTGGCTAGGATTCATCTGTTCCATAAAAGGATTTAAATTGTGCCTAGATATGAATAAATGACTAGCTGTTTACTACAACTTCCAAAACATCTCAATCGTTTTGAAACTGAACAACTAATGTAAAACTGCTGAATTTTGTAAACTAGGAGTGTTTTCATAAGAGTTACAACATGTTTTATTGCGTAATTAGATATGGAATTATTTTTAATGATCACCTCGTGTATTGATTTGAATTAATTTTTTTCCAGTTTGTGCAAGATTATGTGAAATCAACACCACATTTAAGTTTTTACAAACATTTTTTCTTTCCATAAATTCTTGCGCATAGTTTATTCCTCACTTGCTGCCACGAAGAATGTACCCCTATTTTATTCGTTTAAATATAAAGTATTTGCGTTTTTGACATAATCTTGTTTAATGAGTAAAAATAAGTATTTAAAATTCCCTTACAATGTATTTAGTTGTCTGAGTAGCAAGTGAATACATGTTTACTCTAATTCTTATACGTACTGTTTGATCATTTCGATGTAATTTGAGTTCTAAGCTTTTATATGAAGTTAGTGTAAGGCAATGACTTGAACTTACAATGAATATGAAAAACAAATATTTCGAGGATAGAAACATATAAATACAGTCTCACTGATAGTCATAAGATTAATTTATATTTCATGCTTCGTTCAACGTATAATTCCTCTGCATTATAGACTATGTGTTATTCAGAGTATTGATTCTAAAGAGGATGTAACAAATAAGTTTAGAATTCTTCATCAAAAACAGTTTGGAAAAAAGCATTTCGATGCATCAGTCATTAACAGTCCTAATACAGACTATTCTAACTGTCCTGACCATAATCACATGTTAACAGATTGAGGATTATATGCTTTTGTTTTATGAACACGAACAAATTTCCAATGCTCAAATTGAGGAATATGTAATTGACTCATGTCAGGAACAAACTTAGATAGATACTAGTTATTTCCGTAACTAAACATATTTACCTCAGGCTAAACTAAACTGACTTACAATGTGTATGAGTTATTCAATATAAAATGTTATTAGCTAACAAAAAAATTGTCAGAATATAGACAAATATGTTGGGAAGCAATATGGTATATGATCCTGCTGTCGAACAGTTTAACACAGAATTGGCGTTTAAGAATTATCTCCACTGTAGGCGATTAAGACAATATATTCTGTAGTGGTTTTACAAGAGGGGAAAGGAAGGTGTTTAATAGTTCTTTTCTTGAACATTAAATCGACTTCTCACTTATATGTTTAATCTGAGTTCAACCTATCCACGAGATGAAACCTGAATTTCGTATGTATAAAAAGTGTATGATATCTATGTTTTTATCCATACTCTTTGATTTTTTCGTTATTATACATTTGTTTTATTGATTTTACACTTGAAAATCTACCCATCTTTTCAATTACTTCTCATACTTTCTCATGAGCTTTACTCATAATTGTGTCCGATATCGTTTTATATAATCCCTCCATTATGCGTGTGAAATTTCACTATTTCCTATATTGTTCTAGGTAAGAATTGTAGGATAATCGTAAATTATATACGTCTCTTTTTTAATCGATATTTCTCATTATTTAAAGATTGTGTCAGCATGAAATCTAGCAGATAATATATTGTCTAATCAAGTTTGTCGACTCTGAGAATAGACAGTTTTAAAATATAAATCTGTTTATCAGGTTAACTGAAACTGTTTTGAATCTTCTTCAGTTTTGTTGTAATGCAGAAAATTTATATTATTGATGATACTAATGTAGATGGACATTCTTGAACGAATGATCTTTATGAAGATTATTTCGGTACAAGATCACATTTTTATAAGAAATTTTGTTCATATTTAAGTAAACACATTTTATGATTGTACTAGTAAAATTTTAAGCAATTCAACTTGAAAATAATCAACTTTTCGTTCATGAGTTCATTTCAAGCTTCTTCAGAAAGATTTACAGCTATTTAAAAAAATTTCATTTTTCATTCATCAGTGAAGTGAATTAACTCTAAGCGAATGTTTAGCTGTAAAAATGATGGTGTTTTCACTTGACTTTACTTTAATTCGTGACTAGTCATTTGTTAGCTGAATCTATATCTTACATCAATTCATTTGTTTTCGGTTAATAATATGGTCTTATTATATTTTGCCCTTAATAGTGTTCCCTCATTCAAATCTAAACGTAATTATAATGTCGCTCATCAAGTTCACGACTTCAGTAGTGAATTTAATCACTTGTCTTGTGTGATAAATTTTATCTTTTTTAGTCTAATCCTTTTGTTATTGATCTGAAATAGAGGTTCTAACTAATCTTCACATTTTATCACGGATGAAAATTTTCATGTACTCATGTAATGGATTACTATTTTTGTGCGTAGTCATATTTGAATTCCACATGGGTCAGCTAACTAACTTTACTTTCATAGTTTTGTTTATTTACAAGCGAATTCTCAAATAAGCATTTTAAACATTTACTGATTTTTTATTTAGTAATTAAAGGATAATCGTGTTCAGTTTTCAAAGTAAATTCTTATATATTTGACATATAGTGTTGTATTGTGACGTAATTTTATATGTACTTTAGTAATGACAGGAATTTTGCAGAAAGATTATAGAACGGTGAGTAGGTAAACGATTTTCAAAGATGTAAACATCATTAACTCTCATTTGTTGAATAAAATAAATAAAATTCCAATAAAATGCTATTATAAAGTTGTCTAGTGATCAATGGATAATTCCAAGATAAATGGAGACTTTCCCTGATCTTAAGTTGGATAAAAAATTTGGAAATTATTTATTCAGATATTTTAATGTCCGTGATGATATTCCCCCTAATCTGTTAATGTCAGGAGCCTTTTCGTTGAAAACTGCCTTCATAAGATTGCTTGTGATTGCCTACCCAAGTGTTGTTGTGTTTCAACAAAATAGTCAAAATGATTTATTGAAAGCCGTAGTAAGCTTATAAATACATCTATTCTTCTAACTCAGTTCGTTGATGAGCTTTGTCTGATACTTATATCACCTATAGATCATTGTGAATAGTTTTCGAATACACATATTGTTCACTTATTCATTCATAAGATTGTACACTCTAACTCTGCATTTATAAATGCTCAGTATAGTATACTATAGTATTTCCATAATTATTTATTTTCTCATGAATGTTTTGTGCTTTTTTAAAAATCTGGGCGGAATATTCTATTCCTAACTTGGATGAAATTATCTGTCTGACCGAAAACAAATTTACTTTGCTTATTATATTTTTCCTCAAGAAAATTAATCCTGTATATCAGTTTACGAATAATTTTTTTTACATGATGTAATAAATGAGGATATGCTTAACCTCTAGACTACTGAGTCGGCATCCAACGGTGTTAATTTCTAACTTCAATCAATATACTCACTGAAGACATTGATGGACGGTTGCTCAATATCGCGGATTGATTGATGGGAATTTTATAGATCCAGGGTCATCAAAGCATCCATCAAAACAAAGATGTAGGGAATCACGTTGAATGATATCCAATGTTATAAACCCACCAGCTTCAGATCATCACCTGGTGGTGGCCAAGATGAAACTACAGCCAGAGAAACACTGGACAAACAGCATTACAAAGGTTCATCACAGCCTTCCAACGAGAAACTAACAAACTCAATGAATTCAAGATGACTTCCAACAACAGGTTGCAAGCCTTACAGGATCCACTGAAATAAGAAGAAAGTACTATGGAGGATGACTGGAAGGGAAGTGAAGAAGCATTAAATTCAACGTGTCATGAGGTGTTTGGCTGCAAGAAGCAT